GTGCCATATAAATGATGCTTTCCTGTTTGCTTCTTTTTTTCACTGAGTTATAAATTTCAACAATCATCACTGCCAGGAGTCCAAAGGACTGCTTCTAACTATGAGTTTTTTGTGTAGTCTACATCTCAGAATGTTTCTCCCTGACTGCCTGAGAAAATAATACCATACTGCAACTGCACTCTCCTTACAAAAAAGAAAAAGAAAAAGAAAAAAACAAAACAAGACATGCAGTATATGTTGCCAAAGGCAATCAATCATTATCAATCCAATGTAGACCATTATATGTGAAATGTCCTTCAGTTAAAGCTCATTTAACATAAAGAAGATGTACATGAATGTTTAAAAAAAACTTTCTGGAACATTTTGGGATTGCAAACACTAAAATTGGTTATTGTGAATGGCTAAATGTATTCAACTCTCAATATCTTCAAGAAGAGAGAATACTTGGCTCAATTGATGACTTAATCATTCACTTCTCTGAATATAAAAATAGAACCAGTGTTCTTTAAAATGTAAGCTATAAGAATCTGAATTTATGGTACAGTGGCCTTGAGGAAGGAACCTTCACAAAGTACCAGGTAGTTCAGCACTGTGTTTCTCTTTGGAGGAGCAATTCTTCATTTTTTTAAAGATTTATTTATTTATTTGTAGAAGAACTGGGTGCATGCCAGAGGTGTGGAGGGTGAGAGGATTCACCCGAGACAGACTGAGGAGCAGAACAGGCGGATTTACTGAAATATACTTCTAAAGGGATCAGGGGGCCAGACGGATGTTTGCTGTGCCATGTGGCTTAGTTCACTGGCCAGGGACCGAACTCAGGCTACAGTGGTGATAGTGCTGAAACTTAAGCCCTAGACCAAGAGGGAGGCCCTGAGAAGTAATTCTTGAGCAGCTGCTAGATGTTCCTCTAGGCGCCAGCTATGCGGCCACGCAGCCAAATACTCCTGGGGATTGCCAGCTGCTGTTCTAAGCTCTCCTACAAACTTTTTAAACTAATAGAGTAATTTCTCTCCTATTACATTAACATGAGAAAGCATGTATTAGTTTATTTTACTAAGAATAATGACTCAAGTATACTTGACATTTAACTTGAAAAAGTAAAGTTTTTTTTTTTAAATAGACATTATAATCTTTTATCTTTACAACATTTCTATGATGTTGAAAAGATAATTATTTCACTTTCTGTTTCATCTTTGACATAATGATAAGCATCATCTTTCATGCACAATGACATTGTGTCATAAATATGCTACCAGGTGAGTAACCAATTATTTCTTTACGTGAGGAGAATATATATGTCCTCCCGTGGTAAGAGACACATTATCTCCTCTGCAATTCAAACCTCTACTGTAAGGCATCAGGAAAGCCATTTTCCAGAGGCATTCACAAAATGCAATGTAAGTGACCATCCTGTGGAGAGACTGTGGAAACACATCTGTGTGTGGCCACATTTTGCCATAGAGCCCACTAAGTTCTACATGCTTCCCCAGATACAGGAATAATAACCCCCTTCCAGTATGGAAGGAGGATTAGCATTTCCAGGGATCTCTGCAGACTTAATGGTTCATCAAGTCTTCTCCCCAAGGACTTGTAAGTGGGGAGTAACTTCAGATTATTTTGACACCAAAACCAGCTGGACCAAAACAAGAAAAAAAAGAAAAAAGGAAGTAGGAAGTTAACTCAGACATAAGTGAAACTCACAGGCCCACACCTTTACTAATGTCTACTCCATAATTAAGCATATTTGGAAAGAGGTCAGATTTGGGGAGAATGAGACCTTTTCCTGATGTCATACAAAACAAAGAGGATATGGATTATTGCCATTCCTAATCTATATATGGAGTCAGAGGATCCTCAAGTCTTATATGATCAGCTATTAGACTTTTGATTTTTCTTCTGCAGGTGGAGCATGGGTGAACATAGGCTCTTTGTTCCTCTAGCAAACTCCATGGCTGTTGGCAGTTGTTCTACATCCATACTCAGATCTCCTCATCCCACTTTCAGCAGTGAAGTTGTCTTAATTTCTCTTGCCTCCTTCTTACATTGATGGGCACACTTCTAGGGAACTACAAAGCAGAGACTTCTACTTCTAAGAGTTCCAAAGATATAACAACCACATGCTTGCAGCATACACTTCAGAAGTTGCACCTAAGAAATTTTCTCCTACTCTTAAAGAAATGTGACCAGGGAAAAAAGCATGCTTGTAAATGCCTGAAACTATCCTGGTGATAAAAGTCTGAAGTTGGTTCTGGGAATCCAACACACATTGACTCAGCATCAACTTGTCACATTTAAAAGACAGAGATGAGAAGAGAGACACCATTTTCTATAAAATTCAACCTGTTTCTGGTAGTTAGGAAGCTGGCATGGGCACACCAGTGGGCCAGTGATCATAATGCCCAGTGATGCTTTGTTTTGATTGAAAGATCCTTCAGTGACTACAAATATCTAGACAGACATATCCAAATTAATATGTAAGTACTGCCAAATTCAATCAATCCTAGCAAAGTACACACTAATTATTTCTTTTGTGCCTAACAAAAATAAATTCCCAGTGTCTCTAAATTTCTGAATAATAGGAGATGTGATTCTTCATTTTGGCTGCTAGAGCTGAGTTTTCCTTTGTTTTTGAACCACTGAATTATACAAATGGAAAGGCTGGGACTAGTTTTTTCAGCCACCTGACTTTTCTGAATGGACATATCACTGAATGCTAAACAAGAAAATCCAGTCCAACAGAAAGAAAATGACTTCCAACAGCATCTTTTCATCTTCAAGTACATTAAGACCAATTCAATAAAGCAGAATAACATCCGAGATGGAACTCATTGGGGAGAAACACAGCAGTAAGAGGTACTCTTGGTGCAGCTGAACTTGACTCCTGTAGAAGCGAGCTTTTTCCTCTGCTCCCATGATCAGCCCCTACAAATCATTTTATTTCTGATCAATCTGAGAAGTCTGGAGTTAAAAACCTGTCATAAGATACATGTGCCTCTTTTTCCCTTTAGACTCGCACAAAGTTTATCACATATTCAGACCATATGATAATTACAGAGCTACCTGAAATTTGCATAAAATGATTTTAAAATCCTATCTTTAGATATATCTTTCAGTCAGAAAGACTCAGAAATGCTGCCTGAAAATAAATTAAACTTTGGCATGGAATATAATTTATGAAAATTGCATACTACTTGAATTGATTTCACCAAAAAAAGGTATTAAATCTTGATGACTAACAAATATCTTCACAGAAATAAAATGTAATGTTTATAAAATTAAAACAGCAATATAAATTAAAAAAAAAATTTAATAGTAAATCATACCACTTATATGGGTTACTAATTAAGCAAATGAATTGAAATCATAAAAATGCTTTCAATCAATTATATCTTAGCTTCTGGTAGATATCTAAAACCTGACAAATGAAGAAAGAAATATTATTTCTGTTAAGAACAATACATAACATATTCTGTAACTTCTTTTTCTTCAGCTGCTGTGTTTTCATTGACATATTTCTCTGAGTTAAAAGTTACACAAACCCAAATTTAAAAAAGGAACAACTGAGAAACACTCATTGATTTCACTTCCCAAAGACAAATAAAAAAAGAAGGAAGGAGGGAAGGAAACTAAACTTGATCAACCAGCAAATTTTGTGATGTATTTATACTACTGTTCTAAGAATTTGAAGTTCAAATTTTGTATAATAGCACACACTTTGTTTTGATATCATAATACTCCTAATATTGACACACCATATTGCACTTAAAAGTTTTGTAAGTCCTGCTCAAGTCACTTTCAAAGAATCCTTTGTAAATTAGAATGGAGAGGGAAACTTTGAATACCTCAATTAATATCATTACTAATGTGGTTTAATTCATTTTTTTCTCTGTCATACACACACACAGAGACACACAACTGGTTCTGAGCGCTTTGAAAAAAGGTGACCAGGCACAATTCATCTTCTAATCTCCTGACTTGTTTTAGGTACCCAATGATGATGGAATGAATGAATGAATGAATGAATGACTGTGAATGTCATCTGAGTCATCCTAATCTCCACTATTGCAGTAGCAATCAGTTCAGATGAACCACTTGTCTAATGGTTGATTCCAAGTGTCCTAGAAAGAACGACCAGTTAGAGACATCACTTTGGGACCAGGGCTGCCTTTCTGTGCAAGTGTAAGGCAGCCTCCTAGTTTAAAATACAACAGTTCTTTCCTCCACTATAGTACTGGCTATATTTTATTGCACTGTTATTGATACAAGAATCAGGTATCACTAGGGAAGTTCAAGTATGGGAGGTAAAATCATTCACTTAAATTTAATGCTAAGATGAAAATAAATGACATGTCCTTATTCTCAGAGAGGTTTTGATTATGAGGATGAAAAATAATAGGGATCTATAGACATGTAAAGCTAATATATTCAAGGAGAAAAAATGCAGAGTCTGATACCAACTCAAAATTTGCTAAAGGGTGGCATAATATTTTATTGCTGTGGCTAATGAGGCTAGAAGGGAACACTTTATAGAATTAAATTTATAATTATAAATGCTTTATGATATATTTTAATCATTTCCTAGAGGAGATTATGCTTAGTGAATTAAGTCAGACATGGAAAAGACAAACATGGTATGATTTTGCTCACATGTGGTGCACAGAGAAACAACAAAAATGAATGAACTAGATAAGACAAAATATGTACTTTTACAATCTAAGACTGATTTGTGATTACCAGAATGGAAAGGGTGTGAACAAAAGGGTCAATTGAGCGTGGAGGAGACTTTGGATTTTCAGTGATGAACTTAATGTGTAACATACATGTTGTTTTTTAATGATGCAGACCTGAACGTTACATAATATGAAATTATAAAGCAATATGACTCTAACAAGAAATCATTTCCTATTTATTTAAAATAAAATAGCAGTTTTCCTTGAGCCTGGTCACACAGTTGTCTTATAGGGTCTTTAGCACAAAAGGTGTTTGAAGATTCCTCCTACCTACAAGCAACTGGCTGTTCAGCTGCAATCGGAAATGACCATCCTCTGAAGTCGCCCTGGTTATCTTTGGGAGGTTGTCCACCTGGAGTGAAGTCTCTTTGAGGTTCCTCTCGGCTTGGATGTAATGCCACTGGTTGTCATTCAGAGGAGAGGGAGACTGTACTACAAGCTCTACAGGGCCATTCCCAACATCGATGGCAAAAGTGATCTCAGAAGGAGCTGAAACCAAAAAACAGGGAAACAGAAAGCAGGATGAAGAGAGTTTCTGGTGCTGCTGGAACACAAATCAAAGACATCCTGAATTAATGGTATACATGACTATAAGTCAACAGCTTGGTAGAGAGGCCTTTAGTTTAAATCCTTGCAGATTAGAAATCACCAAAGTTTTTTTTTGGCCTATTTTGTGAAAATTTAGGAATGAAGATAGGTAACTGGATCACAAATTCTAATCCTATAAACATGCATCAGTCTCATGGTACTGCATTTCCTGGGGCTGTAATTGTTTCAATAGTAACAATAGCTCACAGATTTCCGTAGATATTAGGTCATCGAGGCAGCTCCAATCCTACAGGAAGAAGATCTATGCTCTGAAAAATCCCAGTGCTCTCTTCCATGCTATTTCATGGGGAAAAAAATCATATAAATCCCATGATTTTAAAACAAAAAAGGAAAACTCAGAATGTTTAAATGCCTTATCCAAGGAGACATCATTTCAAGCAGTGGTGTGGTGGTTGGAATCAAACCCAGGCTCTCACCTTGATGTTGGGTTCTTTTCATGACCCTTTCTGTTCCTTTATAACAATCTGTGTATCACTCATGGCAGTTAGTCAGGCATAAAAATACTGATGGAGAAGGAGGAAGATGATGTTGGTAGTGATAATGGCAAAGGTGTAAGGGCAGTGTCATGGTGATATTGCTGATGATTGTGGTGATGCTGCTGCTGATGTTAGTGGTAGCAGAACTAGTGATGGTGGGGATACAGTGAGAGAGAAAGCTAGTGGGCGAATGAGGACAACGGTAGTTACAATGAACTGCTAAACTCTGTATTAAACATGGCTAAGCTCTGCATTAAATGCTGACTTGTAGGTTTTCTCATTTTAATCTTTAAAACAACCTTATCATAAAGACGTTATTTTGATTTCCATTTCTATAAAGTTTAGAGAAATATAATTGATTCAAAGTTTTCCAAATAGTAAATAGAACCGGACTCCCAAAATAGAAATCTTAACCATTTTTCTCTCTAGAGTATGTATTCTTGCCTTGTTCATCATTACATAAAACTTTTCTAAATATGAAGGTTGTGGAGCAGTAAATTAGAAATTGAATTTGAGAAGACGATCCCATTTTCAGTAACTGGAGCCTCCAGATGCCAGATCTTCCTTTCCTTTTCACCACTTTGTGATGCCTCCTCTATTAAAACAGGACATGGGTATTTATTTGACAAAGTTATCAACTTGGAGATGTAACTATCAGTGCTCACAAAAAAGTCAAACACCAGCCTGGTGTACCTCCTTCTCAGCCTTTAAACTCCTATCTAATACCCACCCCATCTTACCCAGGGTTGGTATAAGAAGTTCCCAATATGGGAAGTTTCAAATAACTCTGAGAACTGCGAATGCTTTGCATTTTGATGAACATGTCCCTGACCATAAAGACACACAATATGGAAGAGACCTTAAAAATGGACTTTGGGATGACTATGATCTAAGGCAGATTTTCTACCTCAAGCCTCAGTTTTCTCATTTGAAAAATTGGAATGAAAACAATACTGATCATCAGGTTGCTTATCAATTAATCCTGATGAAGTTCTCAAAACTGTTGAATAGGATGTGCTCAGTGAGAGACTATCAGAGTTGGTATGGTTCACCAGCGCAAGTAAATTGTCTTTGCCTCATGAACCTATGCACTAAAGAAACTGAGTTGAAGGGGGAAAAACTGGATTCAACCATAAAAGGATTAATTAAGAATGAAGGTGGCCCTGTGATTCACTCACTATTTCTTCAGATTTTTTATTTAAATAGTTTTTGATTTTTATTTCCTTATCTTTCTCTTTACATTTGCAGACCCTTAGCTTTTTTTTTTTTTTTTTTTTACGACTTATTTATTTATTTATACAAGCACTGGGTACAGTCACAAGCGCCGAAGGGTGAGAGAATTCACCAGAGCCAGAGCTGGCAGCACAGCAGGCAGAAGGACCCAAGTACACTGCTGAGGGGAGCAGTGGGCGGCAGGAGAGGTCTGCGCTCCATGTGGGACCCGCTTAGGGCGGGGAGCAGCCGGGGATTGAACCGGCGCCGCAGAGGCCGCAGGCAGCTTTGCAACCCAGCGCTCAACCACTGCGCCACCGGGGAGGCCCCTCTTATTCAGATTTTTGATACCACCTCACTGCCCCACATATCCTGAACCCAGTAAACCCTGAGAGATGACTCGTCTCTAGATTTATTTATCTCTACAAGACACAGGTAAAGACTGATGAAAACTACTAGAGGAGAGAAAGTGCAAAGATTTTGCTAGCTGTCTTCCTGCAAAGATGCCCTTGTGAAGTTCTGCTCAGGTAGCATATCTCTGTGGAAGTCTTGCTGTACCACTTGTCTGAGTTTATCTGTGCTCCAACACTTACCCCTCTTTTGAATAATGATCTGTTTATTGACTGTCTCTCCCACTACTCTGCAAACTCTGGATGAACACCTCATTTATTGGACACATAGCACCTAGCACCAGGCCACATATAGAATATAGAATCAGTTCTCATCAAACTAAATTTCCATTCCTTTTTTTTTTTTTTTTTTTTTTTTTTTTTTTTGCTTGTTTTGAAACAAGGCATTGTGTTCCTTGGAAAAATCTTTTACAATTATTATTGTTTAACAGTATTCAAGTCACTATTAGAGAACCACTCTCCTAGACTGAGGGAAGAACGGTAAAATTAAATAATAGCTAGAGTGCATTGAGGGCTTACCATGATCCAGGCACTCAAGCATTCTTCACAAATCAGCTATTCACGCCTTTCTACAATCTTATAAGACAGGTAACATTTATAGATAAGGGACTAGAACAGGCAGCTGCTAAGTTGCTCCAACACAAATGGGAGTCAGAATTTAAATTCAGGTGTTATGTTTCCAAAGCTCACTTTTAACCCATCTTCCTATGACAAAACCTGCATCCTCAAAGCCTATGGACAGCCAAAATTAGAATAAATAAAGTAGGTGACTTGTTACAATTGAATGAAAAAAAATGTTAGTAAATGGATGACACCAATAACATTGACAAGTGACACTGGACAGGGCACCTGAGTCAAGCATAAGGTAGCTCCAACCTACTGGAGAGATGGACCTGACTCAGTGGTCTTGGATGGAAAAAGCTGGAAGCACTGGGCAGTACAGCTCTATCATAATTTTACTTTTTGCCTCTCCTTCCCCCAAACACCCAACAAATATTCCCCCTCATTATCTACTCCCTTAGTGTTCTAGACAAAGCTAATATATCATCTTAACCTCTATGGGTTTTCTTTTTTTTTTTTTAAGATTTTATTCATTTATACAAGAACTGGGGTATAGGCCAGAGGCGTGGGAGGGTGAAAGGATTCACCAGAGACAAAGCGGGGAGCAGAACAGGCAGACAGACCAAAAACATTGCTGAGGGGAGCAGCGGGCGAGACAGGAGAGGTCTGCCGCACCATGTGGTTATCTCCCTGGCCAGCCAGAAATCGAACCCGTGCTGCAGAGGCTGCAGAAAGCTTCACAGCGCTTCACTCAACCCGCTGCACCACCGGGGAGGTCTCCTATGGATTTTCATCAAGGCAGACACTGTGTTAAGAACTGAGAAGGCAAAGATGAACGCAACAAGATGAGCCTACAGTTGCCTTTTGAGAAGACTGACAAAGAAGGTACATACTAAGTGGAGGCAAGTATCACAGACATAAGAGAGTGACTACCAAGTACTGAACTTAGCAGGGAGAAGTGACCACTATGCTCCAAGACAATCCTCCGTGGAACCCACACGGCAACATGACTCACAGCAATCGGTCCTGAGCTTTATGAATATAGAGTTGTTACTCCTTTTCTGTGTCCTCAATCCCACTCCACTTCAGGTATGCAGGAGAAAGAGGAAGGTGCAAGACCTTACTGTGTCACTTTACCTCTCTAACCTTCCATGCACTCATCTATAAAATGAGAAATATAAGCTAAGAAATATCGTTGAAGATAGTTTGAGACATGTACTCTTTGAGGATCTGATGACAGTTAAAGTTCCTTTCTCCAAAAAAAAAAAAAGCATATCCAGTTTTCCAGAAGTTTTCAAGGACTTCTGGATTGTTCTATACCTCAAAACAAGGGAGAAAATAATTCTCTGTTGTGCTAAGTTCTAACATTCTTGATTCTTGAATTAATTTCATAAAGGAAAGTAAGAAGCTGCTTCAAAGGAACAGAGAGATGGGTTGTATCTGGGATTCTGACTCCCCTTGTATGGCTCCGCGTCTCTCACTTACCTGCTCTCGGCTACCTTCCTTGGTTGTACACTGGACTAGGAGCTGAATAAAGATGATCACAGTACAGTATAAGATTATTTGAAGGTTAAATGAAATAATGAAATGAAAAAAGAACCACTTTTGGAAATAAACTGGACATAGGCACACATGTATATCACATATATGTAAAGATAGCAATAACTAGTCTAGGTTATTAACTTCAGATATCTATAACGACATATGAAATACACCTTTCTCTCCATTTTCCCCATGAGTTTGAAAGGTAGTACAGTATCCAGGTTTAAAATGTCATTTTAAAATAAGAATTACTTTGAACTGAAGGCAAATGAAAAGAAACAGAGTCAAGGAGAGTTTCCTGCCCTTCCCTTATTTGACTAGAAACAAGATACAAATTGATAAAGGTGTCCTTGCTCTCCTGTCTACCAGGGGTGAATTAACAACCAGAGCTAACTTTAGACTCTATCAGCCTAGAGATGATGCCAGAGGAATATACACAACAAACTTTATCAACTAGTCTTTATCTCTCGTTTCAGAGGTCTACTGTTGGGGGTGGCCACCCCGCGTAGTGAGCAGAAGGGCCTTGACCCAAGTCCCTAAGGCATTTGAAAATACATGCATCTCGGAGGAAAACCTCTGGGTGATAGGACTTAGTGTTGAGAGCCTGGAAGTGACCTGCGTACATCTCCACAGTTTGAGAATAACAAAAATAATGAGCGAACGTCCCAGGCTCTAGCTAGGGGGCGAAAAGATTATGTGCGTGAAAACTAACCACCTGGTACCCTACTGTCTGAAGTAAATAGATAATAGTAAGAAAATAGACTAATCACTCATACATGTTATCATTATGTGGTGGTATGCTTTGATGTTACACCTGCTGCAATTAAAATAATATATAATGAGCACTAAGACAATAAAGATTTACTGCATGCTAGACATGAGAGTCCCCCATGTCTGATTTCCCTCACAGTCGTGTCCCAGGTTCGGACTCACTAGAAGTCCACAGTTTACAACTGTTTTAAATTTTCCTACCATTTTTCATTTTATTTCTTCATAAATGCATTATTCTTTTTTAAAGATTGTATATAATCTGGAGTTCTAAACCACTTTTAGGAGTTACTCATGAAATAAACATGTTAATAAGTATCTGTTTGTTTATTTCTTACTAATCTGTGTTTTATCATAGAGACCTCAGCCAACATCTCACTAAGTAAAGTTAAAACTTATTTTCCCCTCCTATAGATTTTAGGGAATTCTAGCCTCCCTGCCTGGCGTAGGACAGAGCCTAACAGAACCATTCTGTAATCTGTAATCTATATTTCCTTGGCCAGTTTATACTTGGTCAGAGGAGTTTCATATCAGGAGAATGCCATGGGGAGTTGGCAAAGCAGTGATTTCCCATTAACTGAAGCGGGGCTCTCCTAGAGGGAGAGCTAGCCTGAGATTCAAGTAGATATTCAGAAGTGAGAGCAGAGAGAGAAACCAAATAGACCACTGATAACAATGCTAAAATGCTGAACCCAACTAGAAATGGTGTCCCGCCAATAACAATGCTAAACTGCTGAACCCAACTGGAAATGGTGTCCCACCGATTCTAGACTTAGTCACAAGTTCCAGTGAGTTTTCAACCTTATCTCTACAGTTCAGATTGTGTTTTCTGGTTTGGAGCCAAATACATCTGGTTGGCGTATGTGTGTCACCAACACCATTTTGCATAAATAAGCACTGGATTGATGAGAAAAAAGTTGCTCGAAATTGAATTTACAGAAACAAAACTTTGAATTCATACTGAATTCTAAACAATAGGCTTTGTGCGCTTTGTCGAACTGACTCTCAACAACAAGCTCTTAATGAGAGTTCTTCCTCCTCCACTCAAAATATCCATCTAGATCTCCAGAGCCATTGTAAGATAATGGTCAAAATAGCTGTATTTTTTTCACAGTTCCATTTGAAAAATAGTGATCACTAAGAAGGGGCACATCTTGCCTTTCACAATCTAGGGACTACCAAATCCAAATGTTGTAAATGGAAGTGATCCAGAAAGAAGTGGACCGAAAATTTCAAGCATGATCCTGTCCAACGAGTTAGATATATTAACTTTTGAAGTTTCTGCTCCAATGGTTAAAAAGGAATACGCCTTTGGAATAGGATAGAAATCTATTTTGAACTACTACATCTGTTAAAAGGACATTTCCTAAGAAAGTGATTTACAGATCAGGGTGAAAATTCCATCTGCATAAAAGGCACAGGGTGAGTGACTATTAATAAGGAGTGCAAGAAAACCCTCACTTATTTTTCTTAATCATTTTAGTAACTACTAAACAAAGTATTTCAGGAAATTATAAGACCTTATGTTTTCAAATATTTTAAAGAAAATCTCCAAAGTATATATTTTCTGATTTGGTGGTAAAATACAACAATGCATACTAAATTTTTATCAAAGTTAATACCTGCATTTAAACATTCGTGTACAAGTCAAAGAACAAAAAATAGTGCCATAAAGTACAACAAAATGATCACTGAAATGTAATTAACACTAAATCATCATTCATTACCTTGTGATAATATGCCCTGACATTTGCTGCTGCTTTAATGAATCAAATGGCCTTGGGGCCTGATTTTTATTAAATTTACATTGAGTTTATTATATCTGTATTATGAAATGGTTGGCACTCTACCCCATACTTTCAGAGCCTGGCCAAGTTAGGTAAAAGGAATCTGATTTCACACCAAAGCCACAAGAGCTTCCTCCCATTAATAGTCTAAATCATTGGAGAAAAGGAGGTTAAAACTACCAATTAAAGAGATCTCCTTCCTTGTATGTGTTTTGCTGCAAGTGTAAAAGAAACACTTAGATGCTTAGTGATTTTCAGGATACTTATATAAATACTCAGTGATCTCTTTTAGCCAGCATTTTTGTTTCTTTCTGGAATGCTCAAATTTCGAGACTCTGTTGCTAAGACAATACTTATGCTTTCAAGGGTAGTCCATGCAATCACATCATTAGAGTAATGTGTCCAATTGCCTCAAGAAAACATGCATTAAGACACAGATAAGTGATGTAGCTAATGGCAAGCTTGATACTTTGTGTTCATGAGGATACCACAGGTAAGACAAAGGGAATAATCACCCAGTTGTATGAAAAATAAGGGGCTACACCGAGAGCAAATAATCTGAAAAGCTAGAGAATAACTGAAAGTAGATTTCTTCTTTATCTTTACCATGTACCATTCTTAACATTTTTGGTGATAAAACATTCCTTCACCAAAACAAAACCCAAAAAACAACAACATTACTTTCTAAATTCTAACAAATGCTGAAATTAGTGTTAATTTTTAATAATAAATATCTAGGCTTCAAATCAGCACATTTCATTACTTACCACCTAATACATATTATTTGAAAGAGGAGAAGTTAATATAGAGAATCGCAGGTACGCCCTTGACTTATAAACAAGTTTACTCAAATATATGTATTTATTTTCAAGTGTAAGAACTGCTATTTTGATTTTTTAATTTGACAACTTCTGTACTACATTGCTTAACTCAAATATACTATTAATATGTTTGAATATATAGTGGCATCAGAGTTTTAGACATGAATTGCACCCAATGAGAGCGCAAGCAATTCCAGCTCTTTTCACCAAACAGAAAAGTAATTTGTGATGAATTTCCTGCTGAAAAAATATTTTAGTGTTTCCTTATTTTTGAGAGTTATTTAAGGCTAAAACTTTTCCTGAAAAAATTACATGGACAACATTATAATTTCTGAAATGTGAAATTTTTGAAAATTAGAATTTTTAAGTCACTATCAAATTTATTTGCATGTTTAAACCTTTAAAAAATTTGTGTAAATATTGATTAAAGTGAAAAATGTCTTAATTTAAATTTAATAAAATGTATTATTTGATTAATATAAGAAAATTGATGAGTAATTCTGATTATACTTTTTAAGCACATGAATATGCAAAGAAAATCATATTTGATGAGGCCATAAACAAGTTTATAGAAGTTAAATCTAAGAAACAGAAAATTTAATGTTATTATTAATTGAATTAAAAGAATATGTAGGTATATCTTCCCCTAAAATTAAAAAAAATAATAATATATTATTATTGAACTGTAACATTTTATTGTCATGATTAAATATAAAATCTTCAATAATATGTCATGATTACTTATAAAATCTTCAATAATATATTTTACCACCTACATTTCTATTTTTTTCATTTCACTTTATTAGTCCTAAATATAACTTATAAATAAGGGATGGGATATTAAGAAATGTCCTAATATCAAATTGACTGGATGTCCACTTCCCAAAATCCAATTTACTACATACCCTACTGTTGATGATGAAGTGGAAGAAAAATAATTACAACTGTGATTGGGTCATCATAAACTCCTAGTGGTAGGAAATATGTCAGGAAAATGACTTTCAAAGGAAAAATGCAACAAAAAAAGCAGACACTAAATATGAATACAATGCATAATACTTTCACCCTTACCATGGAAATTGCAATAACAAAGAGTCCTGTGGCATGGAACTAAGCATGGATCAGACAAGCATGTACTAAGAACTAAGCATGGATCAGGTATCTTTGGGAATTTTTGGAATGCACTATTCTGAAGAGAGAATGAGTAAATACGGAGTGGTAATAAGAAGTCATAAAGCATCAGAAAGAATTAGAAATTATCACTGCTAATTTTACAGTTATTCAGGGAAAGTAATTTGATAGTACAAAAATATGCACTAATAGTTGGTGGCAAAGATATGGCTAAAACTTCTTCTGTTAACCAGTTACATTAAATTCATAAATGAGGTCACTTACAGCTTATTTCAAGTCGGATGAAGTCTTTAATGCCAAGATTTTCTAGGAATACTCCAGATAAAGCCGTGGTTTTAAAAAAGAAGGAAATGTCAGCACTGAATTCCGCATGGAGGGTAGGAAAGTGGAGATAAGAGGCTTCTGTGTAAAATGAGACAGCGTTCCAGAAGTGTCCTGCAAATAAGAAAATCCTTAAGAATGGTTCGTTGTTTTGGAATGGGGCATAGAAAAGCATGGGCATGTGCATAATTTTAAAGACTGGCGAACACTGCAAGGACAGGGATATGGAATAAAAACATCTTGTGCTTATGTAATGCAGAGAGAAATCTTTAGATTTAGTACTCACGGTCACCATAGCAACGCAAGGGACCAATTCTCCAAGCAGCTTCTGAGTTTGATCTGTTGGTATCAGTGATAACTATCTGAGTGACAGGCAAGTGGTCTTTGAAGGAAAGAAAGCCAGTATCATTTGTCCTGCAAAACATAAATTTAAGAAAAAGAGGACAAAATGTGGATAATCTAGGGACTCTTTGCAGACTTCTCTTTTCAAAAGTAATTTGGGTAGTTGCAAACAGGGTCTGGGAGGGTCAGGGAGGGGGAAACAGAAGGCAGAAGGCCTTTCATCTCTTAAGTATGTGTGAAATGCAGAAATGCCAAATACAAAACCCATGGCCAGCTTCCAGAAACCAGTAGGCTGTTCATCTCTCTAAGTGTTTCCAGAAACACAGGTATTTTTACAGAGCCAGATGCTGCTTGCTCTCCTAAGAGCACCCCAACTGCCCAACATAGTGCTGGTGTAACACTAAACATTGCCTCTCTCTCCAGATCGGCTATCTCAGTAACTAACTTGAAATAGGCATCACAAATTCCACTTGATGACTCCAAAGACTTGTTTCAGCCACCTATCAATGGGATTTAATCAGTTTGGGTTGTTTCTTTTCCCCTTTTAGCTCTGGATAAAAGTAAGTCTATACAGTTACTGGTTTGTTGCTCTTCATTTTGTTCTATGTTTAAAACATCTTGGTAGTTATGGACTTGGAGTTTTCATTAATTATGTAAATAGAAAACTGACTAATCACCTTTTAACAAGTTAAGTTAAAAATTATTCGGAAGAAACTTGGCTGTTTTCCTCTTTTCAAATTGTGTTTTCACACTCATGCTAAAGTCCTTATCTTTTAAATGAAATTTTTAAAAAATGTAAGTGAGAAATGGGCATTGAATCAATAATTCTGTTGAGCCAGAAATATATGAGTGTTTCCACACAATATTCCTATGCAGTGAGTACCGTTATTCCCATTCACAAATGAGGAAACTGAGGCTCAGAGATAATAGACGAATCGCCTAAGGTCACATGGCACAGAGGCAGGTGAAAGTCACATTCTTGGTATCTATCCTATGTCAAAATTTACAAGTAGACAGATAAGTATATTTCAATCTGAACTGAACTGAAGGAGGCAGCCTGACACCCACACAGGAGTGGTTTGGAGTTAACTACCCACAGAGCCTTCTTTAAGGTCAGGATGGATATCTTGCCTGTTTGTGGGAACTGAATGGCATAGCACACACCAATTATTTGGGGCCAAGTGTAAGACACAGCAATTTGATAACAAGAACACAAAGGAAACTATGTATATTAGTTCTCTGTCATCACAAAGAATTTAGCAAAAGACTCAAAATTGATGTTATATTTCATGATAATTTACATTTCATTTACAAGTCTGGGTTTACAAAGAAAATAATGTCCCAATTATCAACTGGGTTAATATGGGTAAAACCAAGTAGTGTGATAAAAGTCTTTAAGGACATAGTTTGAGCAAACAGATTTGTTCTGGAATCTGCAGTGCCCAGTTTCTAGCTATGTTAGCTAGGGCAATTCATTCAATTCTGAGATTCCCCAGTGTCCTCAGTTTTCAAAGGGAGGCAATGTCTGTGTTACTGAGTTACAGAGAGGACAAAATGAGATTATATAGTGACCTAGTTTGGTACCTGCTGTATGGCAAATGCACAAAAGTGGTAGCAGTGACACTCATTTTAGTTCTCTCCTCTGTCCCTGAACAACTCTGCAGCCTCAGGCAAGCAAATCATCTATGCAAGTAACTCTGATTCTGTACTGGAGATCTAATACTACACAACACATTATAGAAACTTAAATGTTAATATTTATTATCCAGCTCATCAGATTTAGAGAAAAACATATCAATTCATCTTTGTAATAAATAAAATATATACCTGCACATATATCCCTATAAGTCTATGAACCAATACTATCAAGAAATATCTATCATTTGAGTATTTGTAGTAGAAGCCATTCAAATGATGTGGGATAAGGCTTTTGTCTCTATTTGAAAGTTCATTTACGAATGTTGTGAAGACACTGAAAAAAATCTGAGACTTCACATTCCACTATCTTTCAGATATTTCAAAACAAATCACAAGAAGTCAAAGTGGAATTAAGACCACAAAAGTCATATTCCTTTCCCGAAGAAAGGCTGATAACAAGTTCTCTAACAACTTACATGGCTATAAGATTTACTTTTTCTCTCCATTTTTATTTTCAAGGTGAAAATGGTAGATTCTGAAGTTTGTCCATCAGCACTAACTACTTTCTCCCTTACATACTCTGACATCTTGTCTACATCAATTTGATGTCCTTGTTTCAAAGTGTTGGAACATACAAATAGCAACCTAAGAATAAAAATCCCTTCCAAATAGCAAAGGAAAAAAATCATATTTAGTTTGATGATGTAAACACATTACCAAATAAACATTTTTTTCTGAAACTATAAAAAAGGAAGTTGTTCTCCAAAGTTGTTTAATGCAATAGAAATAGCAACAAACTCAAATGCCTATGGAGACCAGGCAAGGAATAAAAATGAATGAAGCCAGTTTTGTGTTAGATGCTAAACGGAGCTGACACACAGCTTCAGTATTGCAGGTAGAGGAGAGAGAGAGAGGAAGACTATAAAAAGTAGATGTCCTGTCTAAAGAGGACAGTGCCATCCATTAGTAACAAATGATTATGCTGTTCATGAATATAAGGCCAGCTGCCCATACTGGAATATTGATATAAAACATCTCAATTGTCCAATCTTGCCAATGGATTTAGAATTCCAAATATATATATATGGAACTAACACTGCTGCATTGGCCAATAAAACTCAGGGTAGAACTGTGTTTAGCCTGTAAGAACATAGGCATCAAAAGAACTCTGCATATGTATTCATGCTCTTAGGGGCAAGAGTACGACTTGATTTAATCCAATTTGTGAGGGACAGGTATGACTCAAACATTCCAAAACATTAGTAGGTAGAACTTTTTTGGTAAGGTGTTGGTGATGAATTTTAGCCAAAAGAAATGATACAATTTGTAGTTGCACCTACCGGAGAAAAGGGAGTCTACCGTTGTTGATTTGACATTCTATACATTAACTTGTTTATCTTTCTCTTTAGTTTGAACTTGTTCTCTTAAAAGCAATGACTTTATAGACATAGTCTATTTTTCTTGGAACAGCACACAAGGTCCTTTCCTAAGAGTACAGTGTATTTGTGCACTTTGTAAGTGCACAATTGTTGCTCTGAGGGGCACTGCCATTTGGCTCAGACCACCATGGTTGAGTCCATGTGCCTGGCCACACTGGTCCTATGAAACTGGTAAGGTCACTTTGGCTCTCAGTTTTCTGAGAATGGAATCAGTTTTCTGAGAATGGAAATAATGGGAATAATAATAATAACAATAGCAATTTGATATTATTTTATAAATTAAAGTAGATAAGACATATAAAACACACTGACTATCATATAGCAGAAACTTAATAAATAGTTGAACTTTCCAGCAGGTTGAAATGAAAATATGAAATAATACACAATTTAAAAATGAAATAAAAAATCCCACAGTTGACATGAATGAGTCCAGTCCATAGAGTCCATGGAGTCCAGTCCATGAGTCCAGCCATAGAGTCCAGTCCATGGAGGTTCTAAGGGTACAAGGAATAGACATGTGGTCTTCAAAAAACACACATGATCTAATGAAAAATCATGTTCATGAAGAAAAAGATTCAGTCTCGAGAGCAAAAGTGTGGTGCAGAATTAGTCGATGTTGTCTCCCCTCAGTTATAACTATACCTTGCCATTTTCCCAAATTCAGCACTACAGATTGAAGGGGGGCACTGTTTCTTTGAGGTGTCATTAGAATAAAGTAGAGTAAAAAGTCATGTGCTACTGTCTGTTTACATCCACCAGTTTTGATTAACTGGTGCTCTATTCTTTTCATAGTTATTTGGTGACTGAGCCTATTAAGAGAGAAAGATTTTTCCCCTTTTTATATCCTTTTCCTTTTCAGTCACACAAGAGTTCCAAATTAAACATTATGCATATGACAGAGAAACCTAGAATATTATGCAAGAAGTCAAGGCCTCAACTCCTTTTGAAGTCCCTGTGTGAATCTGTGTGGATGAGTCTCAAGGGCAGGTTATTGTGTTCCCTGTTTCCTCGGGCTACAAAGGAGGAAAGACTGTTAAGATGCCCATAAGCTACCCTGCAAGTCTAAAGTACTGGCCTGATCTTTGCCATAATTCTATCCAATGTTGGTTAAGGCAAATTTTTCCCTTTGTCTTTCTTTTTTAAGATACCTAGATAAATAATGACCTAGGGAAGTGATAGCAAGGAACTCAAACTGAGCCAAACAGCTATTTGTGCCAAAAAAGCAATGCAAGTGGGGCCTCCCTGTTGGCACAAGGGGTTAACCACAGCACTGTGAAGCTATGTGCAGTCTCAGCAACATGAGGTCCATCTCAGGCCAGCCAAGGAGCTACCCACACAGCACAGAAGACGTCTACTGCCTGGCCCGCTGCTCCCCTCAGCATGTATTTCAGTCAGTCTGCCTGTTCTGCTCCCCACTCTGTCTCTGGTGAATCCTCTCACCCCCCACACCTCGGGCCTGTACCCGTTTTTATATGCATAAATAAATCAATCTTAAAAAAAAGCAATGCAAGCATTGACCGTGGACACATATAAAAGTCCCCACCAGAAGATAGCATTCATTCAGTTGTGTCCCTCACTGACCAGCCTATATCTTGAGTCCTGTTTTCTGTTAATAGATAAGAAAAATGAAGGTCAAAAGAAGACAATTTTGACAGGTATTTAAAATTTTCAGTAACTATTTCTCCATAAATACCCTAGAAACTTGAAATCATAGGGTTCTTCTCAAGTAGCTGTGAAACAACAAAATCAGATCTTAGTATGTGAATACAGTCCAAGTTTACTTAGGGTCACTTTTTTTTTATTAAGAAATTACAATCGTCCTCCATATTTTGAGTATAAAATTGATTTTTAAGAATGCTAACACAAATGACCTTTTTGGAAGGTATGAATTAGTGAACATGTTCTGAAAATGAAAGAAAAGAGGAAAGAATCATTGGTGCCATAAAGTTAACCTTCTAGATCATGCTCATTAAAGAGGTAGGATTCAGCAAGAGA